TCGATTCGATTTGAAAAAATCAAATCAAATTCAAATTGCTTAAATATTTGATTCGATTCGATTTTGAGGAACCCTATTGATAACTATCATAATTTACATAGTATGCGAATTCCTTCTGTAACTTCCAAAGAGCAAATATTTCATATGGCTACAATATTATTTAATATTAGCAAAGCATTACCAATTCCTATTATTCTGATAATAATTTACCCATAAATAATCCAAATTGTATAGATACACTTATTATTAAAACAGCGCTTTGGACTAATCATCTTATTTCTTTAGGAAAAAGTTATAATTCAGTTAAATTTAACTGGAATAATTATCATGAAAGCGAGTTAATAGAATCATTAACTATACATTCGTATAATGCAGATTTATGGGAAAGATATGATCAAAAATTTAACCAAACAAAGCTTGTTGATTTACTAGAACTATCACTGAAAAATACTAATAATTATATACAAGCAATTCAATCATTTATTGAGTACGTATTATAATTGTAATTGGTTTATTAAAAAACAATTATTTATAAAATTATTTTAAAAGATTACCTGAAATAAAACATATTTAAATCAGCATGCTATTCCTATTTCTGCTGATTTTCCTGGATAATTATATATTAGAAGAGCCATTATCAATATTTTGAAATCTGATATTAATGCATCATTATCAAATAATATTACACATCTAATTTCTTTTTTAGGTCTGTTACACTTATCACTTAATAGCCATGAATCAATTTTTCTTGTTTTTTGGTCTTTTTTCAATCAATTATATCTAATGGTCTTTGGAGCTAAAAAAAACTTGCAGATAAGCCGAAACTCTGGAGAATCAATTTGCTAATGTATTTAGCAAGTTCATGATGGAAGCTTATTAAAAATATTATAGTAGCAAGATTTAATAATACAAAAATTGAACTTTTTTTGACTTACTTAATAATCTTATTCCAGCATTCCTGGATATTTATACAGATCTTTTTTGAGAAAATAAATTTGATAAATATGTTAATATTATGTTTTGCTTATGGTGTATAATAAAAAAATTTCAGTAACATAACTATAATAAGATTCTTCTTGCCTTTTATCTGATGTGTATTATTGGAAATCAATTAATATACTATTATCAAAACTTTAAAAAATAATTTAAATATATTTGATGAATATGTTATTGAAAACTTTCACAGTCTTATACGAAGACATATCACACAAAAGTTTCTTTAAGCAAATTTCTTAGACATGATACACTTTTTCTTGATAACTTCTGAAATGAAAATTTATTTGCTACATCATTTGTACTAAAATGGGATTATCCATACAAAAAGAAGGACTTGGATGAAATGATCAAAAAAGCTGCTCTTTTTTTATTAAACTTTTTTGATGATATTTGGAAACACAGTGGTAAAATAGAAAAAAAGATAGAAGGAAAAAGAACTAAAAAACCCTATTATTATTTTATATCCATTCCTACAAGTTTTTCTTTTTATGCTTTACTCCTTGGATATTATTCACCAACACCTCCAAATACGAAAAAATTTTGTGATAAAAATTCTGCAAAAATTCACTAACAAATGAGAATGGTGAAGTTTTGATATATAGTCATGCATATTATGAAGAATGTTTTCAGATATTGGGTTTGAAGTGTGAACATTGTTATAAATATTTGGATAAATCTATTGATGAATTGACGAAATCATATAATCAAAGATTGCAATCGGAAGAGGTTCAATTAGAACTAAATAATGAGGAAAAGGTTGAGAATGATTGTGAACTCGAAGAAACTGATGGTTATATTCCAAATACTAAGACTGATTCTGAATTACAACAAAGAATTTTAGGTATGTTGTTTAAATAATATGTTAATAATGTGTTAAAATTCTATTCTAATAATTAGTAATTTTAGATTTTTCGAATCAAACTCTTTCTTTTACAAACCTACGGCAAACATTACAAGACATTAATAATGTTCTGCTATCATAAAATAATGCTTCGTAAAAATAAAATTTTTTTATAACGTTAAATTTCATTGGCTGGCAAATGTTAATCTTTAACTATACTTCACATCACGCGCAGCACATCTTCTCTTCTAACTAAAAAAAAAATGGCGAACGTCGAACAAGAACTGATGGACACAAAACGATATTTGGCTGAGGTGGCAGAGAAGCTGCAGAGGTTGGACTGACTGAGGAGTGGCGAAGAAGTGCCGAAGTGGGACGGGGAAAGACAAGAACTGGAGGATGAGCAGGGTGAGCTCAAGAGAAGATAGGACGACTGGGAAATTACAGTCTAGGAGCTGCAGCGCAAGTTGCCAACAGCTGCTCAACCAGGTAATGACTTTGTGACTCTGGCATTGGAGACATAGAGTAGTGTGTATTTAGGGTAGAGTAGACGTAGTAATAGGTTTTCTTATGCTGCGAGTTTGCCAGGAGAATATTACGAAAGTTAACTTCACGCGAACCTGTATTCTATTCTTTTTCTAGTCTTTCTAAATCAGGATCAAGTCTTATCATGTATTCCACCTGACCTTGAATATTCTAACGAACGAAATTCCAGTAGAGTAATAAAACAGGGGAATTTACAGCACCTTTGGAATAAATTTTGTGGGAGGAATTTTTCGATGAAGTGGCTTCATCTTCCTTTGGACAACAACAAAAATATAATAAGCTGAATTTTGATGAATTCGAAAATTTTGCTAATGAAGAGATGGTTCGAATGGCCATGTTTGTTAACATCTTTAAAGTCCTGAATACAGTAATGGAGGATGAGGGAATCACGTTCACAAATCAATGTCTCAATAACATGGTTGGGATGCCAAACTTTATTGGTAGGAAAGAGTATCAACTCATACTTACAATAGAAGTCAAAAAAGAATGGGTTTTGCCTCTTGGTGATTGAACTTTTCCTGATTATTATGCTGATGATGCTATAGCAAAAACGGTTATATCACAAGCATATACGTATATAGCTAGTAACAGACTTCAGTATGGTGTATTAACGACGTATCATCAACACTGGTTCCTAAGGCGACAAGAAGGATCCAAAATATTATATATTTTCAAAACACTCGGACTTGAATCTAAAAACCCTACAGTATTAAAAGCATATGCATATCTTACAAAGCGGGCAAAGGAATAACTATTCTGTAAATATTCTGATATTATCATTAGATTGCTGAATGAAAATTCTCAATACGAACTACCACAAAGGTATCCGTTTCGTGCACGTAAGAACAATTCTAATAGCGCTCCACAAGAAATAATAGAACTGTCAGGCTCAGCGAACTTTCAGTTTGGCAATTTCGTCGGGTCATATCTGGGTTATGGCAGGAGTGGGACTACGTTCAGTTGTAAATACAATGGGCAAGATATAGCCCTAAAACTTACTGATTTGTCAAAAAAGAAATTCCTATTGCCAGAGCTGTTGAAAGAAATAGAAATCTATCACTTTCTCGCAGATATTCAAGGGTTATTCATACCAAAATTAGTAGGCTATGGATATATGTGAGGTAAGATGTTTTTCGCTATTGCGACAACCATTGTCGGCAAATCATTAGAACACAGCATAACCGTTAACAGAAAACAGGAACAGAATGCTTATAAAGCATTAAATGAAATACACAAACACAGCATTCTCTATAATGATATCCGAAAAGAAAACATTATCTTTAACAACGACAGGAAGAGCGTTTTTATTATTGACTTCGAATTAGCAACTATCGATAATAATAAGGTAAAACAACAAAAAGAGATGGGTCAGTTACGCTGTTTGTTAAAAGAGATGGTGGCATGATATCCTCTAAAGGATTTTGAACTCCTAAATAATAGCTGATTGGTCTATCTTTTAATTTTTCATTAAAATTCTTTATAACTCAATTTTACCTTCTTAACAAACCTAATAATGATTAACTAACTATCACAAGGAACATAACATTTTTCACAAATTATATTTAATAGAATTTGAGTTGCAAATAGTAATACTGAATGGAAATTATGCATCTTTACTACAATAAATACTTGCTTCATTGGCTTTCCATATTGCAAGCCTTGTATTTTGAGCTGGGTGATAGATAGAGTCACATCATTACACATATTTGTAATGTATTCATTTCGCCATTTATTATTTATGCTGAGACTAACATTGTGCACTGGGAGAATTCTCAAGCTTGGACTCGGTACTTCAACAATCAAAATAGTTTAATTTCATATCGACTAATTGATGCTTCAGCTTATAAATTACTATCATAAAAATGATAAAATATATATAGGATTACCTATATATGAAAAGTGAATATTATGCTTCTACCAAATACGAAAAAGCTATACACTTCTTGGAGATAGGTTGCAACTATGGTTGTTCAAAAATGATTCTGAGAGAAAGTTTGCTGAATTACGTGAAGCGTTTCAAGCTCTCTCTAGATCCGAACAAAACATTTTTAATGGCCCAGCTGAAAGCAATGAATGCCGGAGAACTGCCAGTTAACGTCTTAAAAAGAAAACGTGTACTAATAAAAGAACGTTTTACTACTGAGATCGCAATACGCCACTTTATCAAAAAACGTATCTCAATATGTTAAGAATTGGTCGCACTCACTTCGAAAATATCAGAAATCACCTGGCGATGAATGGTATCATACCACACGTTCACAGTAACGTAAAAAAGTACCGCGATGGAAAACTAAAATAATCATTGATATAACCGTTGCTACAGCTGTGAAGAATTTTCTCGAAAATTATGCTGAAATTCATGGATTACCAAGTCCTGGTAGAAATGTCAATTGCGTTACTCAATACCTTACACTTTTGCCAGCTGAAACGAGTTATAAGTCAGTCTATCATGATTTTGCTGCAGGCCTCGAAAACGATAGCACGTTGAAATTGTTAAATATGACGCATTTCGCAAGTTATGGCACCAATTAATGCCTTATATTCAAATTATGAGTCCAAGAATAGATTTATGTTACACATGCTAACATTTTCGGAATGGCTTACAATACAATGCTCGCAAGGAAGAAGAAGCAAAAGATTTATTGAAAAAATTCAAAGAACATCTAGTTAAGGCTAAATTAGAGAGAAACTATTATAACAAAAATACGAAATTAGCAGAACAACAGAGAAAATTAGTAAATAAGCATTTTATAACAAGAGGTAAAGCTTATTGTAGTATTGATGCTACTACACATTACAGTTACAAAATGTTCACGTTCCCCATTCTGATCAACAGGTAAGTAAGATTTACTATCTCAGTCCACGTAAAGTACATTTATTTGGTATTCAAGATAAAGCAGTACGCGAACAAATTAATTACGTTCTTGATAAAGACGAAATTATCGGCAAAGGCCCTAATGGATATTTGGATCTTAATTCTGTGTTAGGTATTTTCTTCAAGAAATTGAATGGTTTACAAAAATGTCAGCATTTTGTATTCGAAGCAGCCAATCCTGGAGTTGTTAAAGCTCAGCTGGTTGCTAATAGTTTGTATACTGAATTTAATCTGTTAAAAACTAGAAAAGCAAATGTTGCTGAAATTACCAAAAAAATTAAATCATTTTCCATCCTAGTACTAACCCCTCCTCCTTTGGATTACAAAAGGCAAGAATATCTTTATCATAATATTCGCCCATTCGTTAGAGATGAATTCAAAGATATAAGTTGTCCCCAACCAATCTATACTAATAATGAATAAAATATTTCAGTCAACCGCAAATTTTATTACTTTATTAGTTTTTGTTCATTTCTATTAAATTCTCTATATTTAATCTTTTAATAATATTAATACTAAAATATAATATACTACGTAATAAAAAAAAAAATTAAAATCATGACATTCAATAAAAATGATATAAATACAATAGACAAAGCAAAAGGATACTCCAATTATTATGAAGGAGTTCTTAAACCAGAGGAGAAAATTATTTTTGATAGTGATCTTTTAAAACCAAATGGAACTTTGGATAAAACTTTACTTCAAAACACTGCTGAATTATTAAATAATTGAAAACAGTCCCAAAATAAAGTAAAAACTGAAACTATGAGTTTAACTGCTAAAGGAAAAGCTTTATTTAACTCTTTATTAGTAGAACAAAAAGGTGAGACTGTTCCTTATCAATTAGTTAATGGTCTGAGTAGTGATAAACCAGTTGATAAAGTTATTAGTCAATTCGAAGATGTTTTATTTGCTGAATCTGAACCTGAATTTGATAGTAAAATTCAAACTGCTTTGCTTAAAATTAAAGATTTGGATGGTAAAGGAGAAGCTATTAATAAAGAAATTAAAAAATTACAAGAAAAATATTATTAAAAATTAATCGATAAACAACTGCCTTAGAAACCAAGGTTGCTGTAGCAGTTACTGCTTTAAAAAATGATCTTGGCAATGTTGGAGTAGGGGTGGGTCATAAAATTTTGCAAAATATCATAGATGCCAATAGAAGTTATTTAAAATGATTTTATACACCTACTAAATCAGCAACAATTACTTCTTATAGATCAATTATCAAAACTGGTTAACTACTAAGGGTAAACCTTATACTCATCTAGCTTATTTGTTCAAAAATTTACCAGATCAAATTTGAACTCTTTTAAAAGATGTAAATAAAACTAAACTTTTTAATTATACTGTATTTCGTCTTCTGTTTGTACTTGAAGTGCTAATAATAAGAAAAAGTTTAAAACCATATTTGACCAAATTATGAATTGAAAAATTGAATTTAAGAATGGTCGTGATAGTGGTTTGATAGGTTATTTAGCGATAGTAAGGGAAGTTTTATGTTTGTTAAAATTCGTTCTAGTTATAAATTAGATAGGCAAATTACATAAGTTAAAAAAGAAGTAAAAAAGAAATTATACATGCAAGTGATATCTTTTATATTATGCATGCTCTCTTTCTCAAAGATAGTAATTACAAAGATAGCCCTTTCTTAAAAACAGGTGAAAATAGTTGTTTACAGTTTAATAATGGTGAAAGTTTAGATACTTCTCATGATATTTATTGAAGAGGAGCTGATGCAAGCATTATTGGAAAAAATTATGTTATTGATAGTGGAAACGCAAGCATTCTCAGCATTTCTTTCTCTTATGAAAAGAAAAATTAGCTTGAGCTAATGGTCAAATATCTGAATTCTTTTGGAAAGTTTATAATAACAATGATGCTATTAATTTTTCTGCCTATGATAAAGTTTTAAGTAAAGATAGAATTAATAAAGAAAATATTCAAGACGAAAAATAAGTATATATGAGGAAAAACTTAATGCTAAAACATTAACACTTTTTCGTCATTTTGTCATTAGACAGATTTATAAAGAGTATGTTGAAGAATTTATCAAGAATTTAAAAGATGGTAGTAGTAACAATCTATTTATCAAAGAAGAAGTAATAGAACTTAGATCAGAATGAGAAAATATTGCTAATAAAACAGCATTAGATGCTATGAAAAGTCTTGCAAATTTTAGAAATCAAGCAAGAGATCTTGTCTAACTTTTAATGAATTAAAAAAAAGAGCTATTGGTTTTAGTGATAATTAGATTAAGTGATTAAATACCAAAATTAAATAAGATAAAGTTTCTGATAACATGATCAACATGTGAGATAGATGAGATTAATACTAAAGCAAAAAGATTGAGTTTAGAAAAAAATGGAAAAAAGTTAGGTGATGAATTGATTAAACGAAATGATATTAATTCCAAACTAGTTATGGCTAGACAAGAATTTGATAATGCCAAAAATTTAGAAAAAACTGCTAAGGAGAGACATATAACAAGTTTAAGAGAGACTTTTAACCTTATTTATGCTAAACCTAAAAAGAGCTACAAAGAAAGACTGTTTTTAAAGAGCATTTTAAGTTTAGTGGAAAAATAAGAAAGTTTCTATTCCTGCTGATCCTACTTTCAATGTAACTGTCTTATGAAAAACTATGAATAATGAAGAAAAGATATTGTTAGGTATTCTGACACCTTACCGAGTTTAAGTGACTCTTGATAATAATTTTACTAAAAGATTAGATAAATGGAAGAAAACTGATGGTAAATACTAAAGATGAACACCATAATTAAGAAGTTGCAACTTGGTTGCAATTCCTTGTAAATTTATTTTAATATAAAAATTCATAAAATGTTGTAACTCAAAGTGTTGCAACTTAAGTTGCAACTAGTTAAAAATTTTAAAAATAATTATGGAAATCATCTTTAGTAAATATCATAGTGAAGAGTATGAGAAAGTTCATCTTACTGGAATAAAAGATGCTTTGGAGTCTGCAAAAGATAAAACAGGTTTGAGTCCAAAAGAAGAAAATGAGTTAACTTAGATTAGCAATTATTTAGACCAAGTTTCCCTTTCTAATGAAAAAAGAATTACTTTCTCAAATCTCAAAGTTGCTTTAGAAGTAAAAAATAATGTTATCAGTGATGTTATTAAATAATGAATAGAATTTTCAAGTTCCCTTAATTTTAAGGAGGATGTTAAGGAGATTAAAAAGATCACTGACAAGGTTAATAAAGGGGATAAAGTTAAGAAATCTGAATTTATCAAATATTTAAAAGAAAATCTTTCTAAAGAGTCTGGTATGTCAGAAGTTCCAAACAATAGTGATAGTGATCAAAATTGATTAGATTGATTCTTTACTCAGAGTCCTGAAATAGTGATTAAAAGTATTGCTTCACAAGAATTAAAGGCTGATAATGATTTAAAAACTACCATAGTTAAGAAGATAGAGGATCATAAAAAAGATGGCAAAGGATTAAATAAAAGTATTTACAGAAATGGCAAAGAGTTTACTAATGATGGTATCATTAAATATTATAATGAAAAGACAGGAAGTATAAAGCATAATTATTCAAAGCAGAAAAATAATAAAGATGGTAATAGAGATAAAACAAAAGGTTTCTGAAGTTTAGATAATCCGGTTGTAATAATAACAGGATTTTACCTTATTGCTGGTACAGGTATAATTATTGCCGGTATTATTTATTGAAAAAGGATAGTGGGTTGATGAAACGGTCTAGCTAACGCTGAAGGTAATTGAGACAGTAATGAAGATAATAAATAATAGATTGCTGAAAATACAAAAAAAAGTGTTCTAGCAATGATTCGATTGTTTGTTTTGCAGGAAAAAGCTAAAGAGATTAAGAAGGGATCTTGATTAAAATTAAGAAGTAAATTACAATTATCAGAGTTAAAAGAAAAATAAATTGTTTGTTTTATCACGGTATTCTGCCAATTTTCGTTTCTTTCTTAGTTTATTATATGTTAGGATTAAGGTTTGTTTATTGTTTATTATTTTTCGTTCTTCTTGATAAATTTCATAAGTAATTTTTTCTTGATTTAGATATTCCTGAAGAGTTTTGATATCATTGATTTTATAAATGTATGGAGCAATTTTTTCACCTTGAGCTTTTTTAGAATGCTTCTAATAGTGCTGTAATTTTTGGGTTCTATGGTGGATTTAATGTAAATTAGTTTCATATATATTATTTTTATATAGAGGTAATTCTATATTAATCCTGTTATGGTTTATATTTATCACACTCTGATATGATAAAGTGAAAATTAAAATTAACAAGTCCAATGAACACTATTATTACTTTTCAAAATGTCATCAGTCATACTGATCAATTTTACAGCCACATCATAATCAATCCCTTATTTATAGAATGTTCACTTTGTCTGATTTTGTTGCAGCATGCACCATATGATATTTATCATGATACATTCTAACCTACTTTTATTATATACTTTAAAATTAATACATTCTTTATCTTCTAACATTATATTTGATTTCCTTTATTTATACATAAATATAACTGACATATATAAATTAAACCATAGAATTGTTTTACTTCTTTTTTGCAAATATATATGGTTACCTATAGGTAAAGAGAATTGTATATAATTTTAAAATTTTTAACTAGATATAACTATTTATATTAAAATAAGAAGTTGCAACTAGTTGTAATTTCTTAATTATACATAGTACCACCTTTACTTATAGGCAAATTCAAAAGAAATGGTAAGTTTCTAATTTGAAATCTATGAATCAAACAAAATGGTCTAAATTTGCTAAATACATTAATTTTCATTATAATTATTATAATTAGATAAACTTAAAATATCTTCTCCAAGAAGACCAATATGAACAAGCTTTAAACAAACATTAAAACAGCTATCATCATTGTTGACAGGTTTGTTGATTGCTTATATTGATTGATTGAGTTGTCTTGTTAATAGCAGTTCGAGTTGGGTATTTTTTATAACAAAATTCGCGTACACTAAAAGAGGGAATATTTTAATTGCAAAAAGGAAAAACGAAACAACCAACTTCATATAACAGATACGATACCTTTGCATCGTAGTCATGATTATCATAAGATAAACACCCTAGTGAAATTATTTAAAGGGGCAATCATATACCTAGTTTGGATGGTCCGATACAATACCAACCTTCGGCGATGCAAAAGTTATTGATATTGATAGACTCCAACTTGATAGTCGTTTTTGTGTAATTTTAATTAGAACAGTAACATAATACAAACTTTTTAAAGTACATCTATCAAATTTGAGTTTCACAAAAATTGAATTCGGTTTCACAGAAATGGCATACCTCAATAAATACTTGTGCTTCAGCGATCGCGGGTATCACCTCAATTGTAAAGTTCCACGAAAAATAATTTTGGAAACCCTTTATTTTCGCGTTATTTGCAAGAAATGTGGTCATTAATTGATTATATCCTTCAAATAACGCCTTATTCAGGACAAGCAGGAGAATTACATCCTATAGCTTCTTTACTTATAACATTTATCTTATTAACCGTTGGTTATTTAATGGGCAACTCATTTTGGCACAAACTATTAGGGCGTAACAAATTTTTACCTCAAGGAAAGGTAGAATTAGTAATTTCGAAATTCTGGTTACTTTAATGACATTCGTTTTATATAATATATAATTAGTTCTTTGATTGATATATTTAGCACGCGTATGTGACTGGTGGAAGTAATGGACTTGGTAGAGCTATAGCCAAGTTGTTAGCTTCGAAAGGCGCTCACGTAACAATAGTTGCGCGTGGTAAAGAGGATTTAAATACAGCTCTTGAAGAAATTAAAAACGTAAGTACGAGTTAGTTGTATAGATTGATTTAACATGAAATTTTTTAAATCTAAACCTTTTTTATCGTTAAACAAGGCTGCAAAGGATTGTGAAGATTATAAAAATTTGATCTTTACTGCAATTTCAGCAGACCTTACCAGTAAGGATGAATCCTTTCGTGCATTAAATGAAGCTTGTGAGAAGCATAATGGCAAAGCTCCCGATTTTATAATCTGTTGTGCTGGTAATTTTAATTTCTGGTCTCGGTTTTAATTTATTAATACTTTTATATGCTAATTAAATTTTTTTTTAATTAAAAAGGATTTTGCAAGCCTGGAATATTTATAGAACAAGATATTTCAATATTCGAAAATAGCATGCAACTCAATTATTTTGGAACCTTATACACCATTCATGTAAGCAACATTATGTAAATTTTTTTTTGTTGTTGTTGTTTTAACTATTCCTATTTTATGATGTAGGATGGGGTAAAACGTATGGTGCAACAGGAGATTAAAGGAAAAGTTGTTTTGGTTAGTTCAATCTTAGGCTTAATTAGTTTCATTGGATTTTCTCAATACAGTCCGACGAAATATGCTATAAAAGGTATTTAATTTTTACGATGATAAAATTAAATTTTATTTGTCTTTTTATCAATTCGATTTCTTCATAGGTTTGGCCGAAACTTTACGAAACGAGTTGATACTTTATGGTATTGATGTTCATTGTTATTTTCCTGGCACGATTGATAGTCCTGGTCTCAAGGAGGAGGTAAATGAAATAGTACTTTGTCGGTTACTTGTATTATTTTGCTTATTATGGTCAATAATTTAATTCCCCCCCCCCCCCAAAGAACAAAACCAAACCAAAAATCTCCAGTGATATCGAAGGTAGTAATGCAGAGTTAAAACCAGACGAAGCTGCTAAAATTTTATATAAATGTAAGAGAAACCTTTTTTTATTTCATCGAATCTATTTTTAATACTTCTTTAAGTTAATATCCATATATTTATTATAAGCTCTTTGCAAAGGAGAATTCTTTATCACTTCAGATTTTGGAGGTGATCTTTGCAGAGCTGCATGTAAAGGTAAAGTCATAATACAAAAATATTTTTTAATGAATAGTTTAACTAACATCGTTATATGAATCTTACAGGTCCTGTCAATCCAACTAATAATTTTGTTGTTGATAATTTGCTATGTAATCTTGCATGGGTCTGTAAAAAAAAGATTTTTACATGTTGATGTCCTGTATAATATTTAATTAACTTTTTTTTTCAAATTTAGATTGGAGGGATTCCTTTTCGATATTTTATAGACAAGAAGGTCAAAAATAGTACCTAAAATGAAAAATGATTCTTCATTCATAAGATCAATTATAGTTGGTCGACTAAATTAATTGGACGATTACAAATTCAGACTCTAATTGTCATTATTCATTATATATAATGACATGATGTTAAGAAATCTTAATTAATATTAAATTAATTAATATTAAAAAAGTCAAATCAATAATATTAATAATAAAGAAATAATATTAAAAGTCATTTTTTTTCATTTTCATTGTTTTTTTTTTCTTGGAAAAGAAAAATAATAATAATAAATTTATATTATAAAAAAATATATATATTACTCTTAACCAGATTGTTCTATTATTGAACGTTAAAGTTAAATTTTGACTAAAAAAAATATAGAATAAATGTAATGTAAATAAATGACTTACTCTTCTTTTTCTTTTTTCCAGAATCTTCACTTTTTTTCCTTCTTTTTCCCATTTGATCTGTAACCATAGGTTGTGATGAAGACTGACTGGGTGACTGCTAAATTAATTCAACAATAAATTCAATTAATCTAATTTTTTTTTTTTTTAAAAAAAAAAAATTAATTACACATACATCGCTCATTTCACCAGGCGTACCACTAATTAGCAAATCATTTAATTCATTAATAGCTAATGTGTTATCTTCTTCAGTTTGAAACATAGCCTGAGTTATTTGTTGATGCATTTTCCGCGTAACGTTATTAAAAGTTCCTTCGACAGATCTATGAAATTCTATTAATTCTTTTGGATCTTGAATTTTATTTCCTTTGGGGAATGGAAAAAAGTCATCTCCTCGGTTAGATTATTTTTTAAAATAATTGAATTTATTTCAACGAGTAATAAACTTACTACGCAATGCCGAATTAGAATCGGTTTCCCCTTTCCATGTATACCCCGTTGCTGGATGAAATTCTACTTCTTGGTGAGCAGTATTAAACGCAAGATGTAAATGATGTAAACTTAACAGCTATATTTATATATAAAGGAATTATTTTTTGAAAAAAAAATAAATAAAAAAAGTTAATTTTTATTTCATAAAAGAAGAAAAAGAAAAAGAAACCTTTATAAAATTTACTATACGAGTCCCTATGATTGAATATAAATCAGGTGCCTGATAAATATTATTGTTCAAAATATAATATGTAGCGATAGGGTTAGCTAAATATACAAAAAGATGTTAGTGATAAATCTTACAAAAAAACAAGAGTATTGGTCAAATACACAAATATGGTAAAAGAATCAAAATAAAATTATTTACTATGATGTTCATCTACTCTATTTTGTTTTCTAATTACCCATAAAACTGGTGGTTTTTGAAAAATTACTTGAAATTCAATTCCAACCATTTTGCTATATATAAAAAAGTAATTAGAAATCGATATATATATATATAGAAAATAAACGCGTAAATGAAAGTTACTTCAAAAATTTGTTGAATTCTTTAAGGTCATTATATTGCGTTTGCATTTTTAAGGTTGCATTATTACATTGAGCATCCCAAAATGGTGATTCGGCAAAATAATCCAGAACATTATCGTCATTAAGTCCCTCAGGTCTCTATTACATTCAAAATGATGATAACAACGATTAAATTATATTTTGCGTTTATTAAAGTATAACTATTTCATACCCCTTGAATCCATTCCACATTTCTCCAAAAAATCGTGGCAAGGTCTTCTTCTTCCATAATTGTAGTGATAAAAATGACAATAATTCGTTTTTCTTAAAAAATAAAAAAAAATAGTACGTTGGCTAATGGGTACATTTACGAAATTTTAGCATTATCTACACCGTCGTAACTTTCAAAATGTATTACTTCTCCAAGAACTTCAGTTGTTTAAAGACTAACTTTTTATCTACCAATTAAATTCAACAATTGAAAAGAGCCAATATGTGTCACGTGAATCCCTTATGTATTTTATTTGCAAGTCCAAAAAAAAAATTTATTCGATGATTTCTTTAAATAACGGTAAAAGAATCATAAACTTGATAATAATGGTTATAACTTAATACAAATTAAAATATGGAATGTAAAAATGTCCAAGAATCTCAGTGGAATGAATGGTTAACACTATTTGGAGAGGGTCCAAATAATTCACAGAAAATAGTGAACTTTTTCCTAATGGCACATGAAAAGTGATTAGAGAAAATCATTAAAATTTACAAGTTTATATACATCATAACTTACCTTTTTCTCTATAGACATTTGTTGTGAAGGACCATCCCTCTCATTTTCAGGTGCTGCGTCAAATACATTAAAAAATCTTTGCCCATCTACATCAACCTCCAATATTGAAGCCATGTTTCCACAACGATAACAATAATTTGGCGCAGACCATACAGTTGATAAACGATCATCGTAGAGAACCTGCACGCGAAAACCGTATATTAAAAATTGTTGAACATGCAACCTTAAAAATAAAACAATATAGAATTACCTGATATCCTTCCATGCAAAGCTGATGCGCGCGAAGAATATGTTCCATCTGATTTATCTCGAGAAACTTTTTGACAACCAATCCTCCAAAGGTGTAACCAGCACCTCTTAAAGTTGTCAATTAAATGAGAATTATCATAAAAATATGAATAAAAGAGAATATATATATATATAATTTTTTTTTCTTTAACAAAAACCTTGGTGAAATGGAAAATTCTTCTTTGTCCGGATCAGGATCGGACCAAACCAAGTCTGCCATTGGGCCTTCGTGTGGAATCTCTAAAATTTATTATCCGAATGAATTAGAATAATTATAATTTGAGAGTCAAAATTCTCAAACATGATAAATATGAAATTGTACCTCTGTATCTATCCAGGATTTTTATTTGATCGATGCTATGTATTGAAGGAGATAACCCTATTTTTATTTTATTGAGAGGATGATATTAATAATAAGGTATATAACAAATACGTTTGAAAATCAAAGAATCCAACCTCCGTGTACGCAGAAAATTCTATCGTCAATTACCACCGATAACGTAAGATAATCAAACATATCAGTAAAGTAATGCCAAACGTTTGTCGAACCATATTTTCTTACGCATTCAGTATAAAATCCGTAGGTCTATTAAACATTATATGATTAAATAGTGAACCGCAAAACAGTAATAAAAAATGAAATTGAAATTACCTGAGTTACGGCTCTGGATTCATGATTTCCTCGAACCAGTTGAACTCTATGAGGATAGCGTAATTTCAGGCAAGTCAACAGAGATATCGTTTCCACGCTAAAAAGTCCCCTATCCACATAGTCGCCTGCAGGGAAACCGAACAAGTCGATGATTTGTTTATGAACATTCGGCTGTACCACTTTTAAATACCTCGTTTAAAGACTTTTGAAAGTGGTTGAAATCTTTATGTACCAAGGAAAAGATAGTTTGTATATGGACAATATCCTCCGATTCGGAATATCTCTATAAGATCGTAAAATTGCCTTTAAAATTTATAAGAATTCGTTAGAATTCCAAAATCATTGGATAATAAAATTTCAAAAAAAAAAAAAAAAAATTACCCGTGAATATCGCCAACCTTTATAATTAGAATAAATAAAATAACCAATTAAGAAAATGCCCAATTTTTTTAATTGATTATATTATTATTATTTTTAAAGAAAATTAGCTTAAAAAAAAAAAAATTTAAAAAAAACACTTTCTACGGTGACGGGAGCCGAAATAGAAACGCAGTTGCTTTCGTTCATTAATAACTCTTTGGTTTTTTCACAAATTTCTTTAAGAAGAGATTCTGCCAAAAGTTGTTTTTGAAGAAGCTGAGAGATGCAAGCATCCAAGTCTAAGCCCATATTACAATCGATGTGAAAAGGTTCGATAAGAGTTTACAGAAAGTTAAAATTGAATGCTCAAGGAAAAAAAAGTTAAAACCTGTAATTAAGCTTTTATGATGAAAATTTTTAATTTTTTTGCGCAGATCAATTGAACACAATTTTTTATTATTGTAGACTAGCATAAATATCATCTAGTGCTTCAATGGTTAAATAATCATCATCGCTTGATTCTAAAGCAAATATAGAATCCTGAACATATTCAATCTTTCTCATACCAACTAAAACGCAACCAACTATTTGATTTGCTAAATTAATTCGAAGCACTTTTACAGATAACGGAGAATGAAGTTGTGCAGTTTCCGAAAATAACGAAGGACAGAGATACGATATCATGGAATCAAGTTCATCATTGTTATTGAGCAAGTTAATTTGAGCATATAAAATTATTGATTCTATAAGAGTTTGTGTTTCCTAGGTAATTAAAGTATTTGTTATAAAGGTTTCTTGGGTAACGTTAATTGCAAACCTATATATAAACAAACCATCTGATAAGCCATCATCCAATTTTGTAATCTACTTTTTTCTCCATTTAAAGCGTTGTTTTTAATATAATCCAACAAACATTCCAAGTCTTCTGTAATGGCAGGTTTAATTTGCTTTTCCAGATAATGTTTTGTAGCAAATTGATTTTGCGATAATCTTGACAAATTTTGTGATAATACTTGAGACCATACGAACTTTGTTAACAACGGATGCCCTAACTGAACTATCATTTTAGAGAAATAAAATTAGTTTAGGAACTTTAAAGGGAAGAATTATATATGTATCTGTATCTTATCTTTTAAAAAAATTGCTTACGTAATCCATTTAATTCACTCTCTAATTGATCTATCTTTTGAAATCCATTTGTTAGATTGTCAATGATTTGACGTTCGGCTGTGATAAAAAATTGAACAATGTGCCATTAATAAAAATCAAATATGCAACAAAATCGAATAAATCGCATACATAAATCGCATTTGTTATTAACAAGTGAACGAATGGCTCCCCCGGAAATGCTATGAAGTGGACGATTGGTGAATATGAATATGTCATTCGACTAAAAGTGTTTAAATAGAACATTAGATATAATTTTTTTTTTTTTTTTGCGTTTGTATAGTACCTCTGCGTATTCGGCAAGAGAACACTTTTGTCCAAGTCCTCTTTGAATCAAATCTCTTTCAAATAAATTAAAAGGTACTTGAATTGCTACAAAATTTGTTTTACTTGAATTCGAAAGCTTTTCATAAATAGTTGGTAAAGAAATATGATCACTTGCTGTTGAAATTGCCATTGAATTTGAACAAATTCCATATCCGCCGATTCTTCCTATTTATACATTAATAAAAAAAGCCGTCTCATAAATTTACATTGGATTATTGATTTGTTTTGTGAATGATTTTCAAACCTTTTGCTACTTCTTTGTCCAAATAATCAAATGCTCTTTCGATATCATGATACAAATTACTAATCGATACGCTCTAGGAAATAAATTATTAAAAATTCTAATTTGTTTCTCATCTTTTTGCTTTAAGATGCTAGAAGATTTATGAAATATTACACCTTATTCTTTGCTTGTAAAATTCTTTCAGGATTATTGAGCATAAATACATCAATTTTTTTAAGATTTAAACGAGACAATGATCCGGAAATTTGTTCATTTAAAAATTCGTCAGAAATAGAGTGCGCAGATTTATCATTAATTTTTGCAAATGAACCGCCCAAATGGTTGGTATGTTTAGTATTTACATATCCTGCTTTGGAGACCACTACCACCTCCTAAAAAGATTTTCAGTTTTACAATGTATACGTATATATATTGATTTCAAAGATAATAATTACCTCACGAGTAACAGATCCATCTTTAAAAGCGTCATTTAAAATCTTACCGATAACTTCTTCAGATTCACCTAATTCAAAATGAGCACTCGTATCAATTATATTGATCCCACTTCTTATAGCCTTTTCAAGAGCCATTTTGTGTCTATCATCATTCCAATTAATTCTATAACCACCAAATCCTAATCGAGATACGATTTGTCCGGTTTTTATTATCCTTGAGGTTGGAATTGTAAAATGTTTTTGAAAATATGTTGAATTGGTGGAATTATTACGATGAAAATTTGCAAATTTTATGGTTGCTGTATATATATTTTTGTTTAAATAGATCCTTTGAAATTTTAATGATTGAAAAATCATCATTTTGAAAGTTTCAAAGCTACTCATCCAAAATCATTCTCACTATATATATCAAATTTTTATGATAATCTGTATTAAGATTTACTAACCCCATTTTTTTTTCTTGTATTTCTTATAACATAATTGGTTATTTGTTTTATTTGTTATAGAATGATAGAGATAAAAAATTAGATATAACGATAATAAATTTGGTAATCAATTAAATTATTTATATTATAATACTTTATATTTTAAAAAATAATGAAAATTTATTTCAGAAGTTAATATTTTTAATTTATTATAAATATTATAATATTAAGAATTAATATTTTAAATAGAATATTTACTAAAAATTGTATCAAGTTTGATTGAGTACATAAACTATCCTTTTGATAAATTAAATATAATCTTATATTTCTCCTTAAATAAAGTAAAGCAAGTTTATTATTTTCTTATATATATATTCTATTACTTTTTAATACATCTGTTTTTTAGATTTATGATGATTAATAAGAATTATAAATACAATAGTATTAAAAATATTTTAAAATAAATATAAAAGACATTTTATATCTATTAAAATTTCTTAAAAATATTTGTAACCAGTTTAATTTCTCTTACCTAAATATAACATAAGATATTAAATATTAAGATTACTAATTAATATATAAAAACCATTTTATTGTATTGTAATTAAAACTCAAAAAACCAAATTTTCTTTTATAATAAAAATTTTATAAATTTAGTATTATAAATCTTATAATATTCTTAATTAAATTATTAAATTATTAAATTAAAAAATAAATATTACATAAAAAATGTTTATTAAATTTAAAATTTTTTTACTTATAATATATAATTCTTAATTAAATTATTAAATTATTAAATTAAAAAATAAATATTACATAAAAAATGTTTATTAAATTTAAAATTTTTTTACTTATAATATATAATAAGTATATTAATCAAAAATTTTAATAAATTAAAGAAAATTTAAATTTAATTTAATAATAATAAAAAAGTGTCTTTTATAAATTTAATTTCTAGTAGACAAATTTGCTTAAAAACTTAAAAGTAAATTTTATTTAATTATTTTAAAGTTTTTTATAATATTTTTTAATATTTTTTTAAAAATTTATATGTTACATACTAATTTAAATCACTTTATATTATTAATAAAATTATAAATTTTTTAATATATTATAAAATTTAAAAATTAATATAAGTTATAAATAGTTAATTGAAATAAATAAATGAGAATTAATTATTAGTAAATTTAATTAATTAAAAATAAATAATATAATTTATTAATATATTTAATATTTTATTTTAATAAAAATAAATAATTATAATCTTAGTAATATTAAGTAAAATAAAAAGATATATATATATTTATTATTATTAAAATATTATTTCTTTTTAATTGGCTATAAACAAATATTTATAATATATTATTATCAATAATTTTATAAAATAATAAAAAATAATTTTAATTTGATATAAATAATAAGTTTTATAATATAAATTATGATAAAGAATTTTTATTAATTTGCTATAAAATTAAATAACTTTTTTTATAATTATTTTATATTAAATCTATTAAATCTAATCTTAATTAACTATTAATTAATAGTTTAAATAAGTTATCTCTTAGATTATAAGATTTCATAGGCAAATTTGCCTGCTTATTTACTATAAATTTTCTTTTGATTTACTTTTATAAATAATTAATATTTTAAAAAAATTTTTTTTTAAATTAATTATAAAAATATGTAATATATTATAATAAGTTTTATCTTTTAATTATATAATAAAAAATGTAATATTACTTAAAAGCTAAAAATTTGTAATTTTTAAAAAAAATTTATTTTAAAA